AAAAAGAAGATGAAAACTGAAGAATGAAATGGCAATAAATACATATCTATCAACAATTGAAACTAAAAAACAAACTAACCAAATAAGCAAAACAGAAACAGAATCACAGATATGGATAATGGTTTTAATGGTAGCCAGATGGGAGGGGGATTTGGGGAAGTAGGTAAAAAGGTGAAGGGATTAAGAAGCACAAGTTGGTAGTTACAGAATAGTCATGGGGAAGTATAGTATAGGAAATGGAAAAGCCAAAAAACTTATTTGCATGACCCATAGACATGAACAAAGGTGTGGGGATTACCTAAGGGAGTAGGGAGGTGCTAGGTGGAGAGGGGCAAAGGGGGAAAAGTTGGGGCAACTATAATAGCATAATCAATAAAATACAATTTTTAAAAAAGGTATTTTTTTATTTTCTTTTTTTTAAAGATTTCATTTATTTATTTTTTTAGAGAGGGAAGGGAGGGAGGGGGAGAGAGAGAGAGAGAGAGAGAGAGAGAGAGAGAGAGAGAGAGAGAGAGAAATATCAATGTGCGGTTGCTGGGGGTTATGGCCTGCAACCCAGGAATGCACCCTGGCTGAGAATCGAACCTGGGACACTTTGGTTCCCAGCCTGCGCTCAATCCACTGAGCTACGCCAGCCAGGGCTAAAAGGTTTTTTTTTTTAAGTTTTGAAATTAATATACACATTCTGGTATGTTGCTTGGCCAAAACATTCTTGTGATATTTCCATATATGCACACTCTGATCTCCCCAAAGCCTGCCTTTCACCTCCACCACTCCCAGCTATGAGTTTTTGTCCAGCAGAGATTTGCTGCTGTCTGCTGAAGGCTTCTAGGAATATTGTATGCTCTTTTGTTACTTTGCAAAGAATGATCCAGAGCCCAAACCTCCAGATGAACTGGATAAAAATTCAGATTCTTGGAGTTTGCTCCAGACCTAGTCATTCTCCATGCAGATCTGGTGGAGCTGAGTCATCAGCATTTTCCATGGTGCATTCATGTGATCCCCTGCTAGACACCTTTCCAAAGACAGTGCTCCACAGTGGGCAGTACCTTGATACAGAAGTGCAAGCCTGGCGTCTTCATCCCCATTCAGTCTTAAATTACTTATGCCCTCTGTGAAATGGGGGTATGAATTCCTGTCACAGAGATGAAACAAGAATTAAAAGATACCTTCTCTTACTTTATTTTGTAAGCTCTGAAAATATACACATATAAGGGCTGTTGGCATAATCTTGGAACCTCTCAGAAGTTCTGCAACTTCATTTTCAGCCCACCTCCAACCTCCCCACTCTACCCACACTCACTTTCACCAAGAAATGACAAAAGCACCCCTTTAGTGCGCAGGGACACAGTGCTGGCAAATCCACAAGTGCAGCCACACAGGTGTCAGCTCATTCTCTTTTATGTTAATAATTGAAAGGAACACTTTATTAACCTTTAAAAAATGTAAATACATTTACATACATTTTTATTTATACTTTATGAGATAGGTATAATTTACAGATGAGAAAAATGAAGGTTTTCTGAAAGTGAGATTTCATGGGGAAAAAAAAAAAAACAAGCTTGAAATCCTGTGACATTTGGCCCAATCACCTGAGCCCTGGATTTCTTCAACTATATAATGGGAGCACAAGCTACATTAACTCAATGGTTGTGGTATGACTGACATGGGCCAGCACATCCTGGTGGCACCTTGGGTTCACCTCCACAGCTGCTCCAGGTCTGTGCTGGCATCTAGCCATGTTGTATCCCAGGAATAAACTGGGTAAGCAGCTAAGAGTCATCTTCTGAGAATATTAAAATGTCTGTCAACCAAATCAGGCAGCTCCTGAATCTACTGATTAAACACAAATGTTAAGCCCTGCCAAAGCTGGGACTAGGAAGGCACTTGGGGTTGAGGGGGAAGGGTGGCAACCATTTTGGAATTTCCACCATCCTTTTCTGCCTATTCCCACAGATAACTCCAATTGGTAGAGAGTAGAATTCAGTGGGCAAAGTTGTGGGCCATACTTAGGGATATCTGCCCAAGTGCATTCACCTGACATTGTCAGGTACAAAGAGAGGGCTTCTATGGCTGAAGTTGCATGCACAACCCCAGCAGGAGGCTGCAGCTGCTGGAGGGAAGGGTCTGGAGATCTGCTACAGAAAATGCCTGCAGCAGGGCTGGGCCACCCCATTCTTGTGCCTTCCCTTGAAAAGCCCTTTCTCTGTGACACCCCCATTCATTTCTTCAATAGTTTTTGAGCACCTACTATATACCAGGTTCCAAGAGCAGCAAAGATAGATAAAACACTCTCTGAGATAAATAAAACAGTAATAATTCTAAAAATAATAAAAAATTTAAAGATTTAATAATTATTAAACCTCCACTATTTGACAGGCTCTAGGTGTTCATTCATGTGATCCTCACAGTACCCTGCTAAGAGATGTAGCAATGAAGATCTTTGGGAACACTTGGAACAGAAAACCATTAGGGACAGGGGATTGTCAAAAGAAGGAATGATTCAGCAGTGGGGAGCAGAACAATGGCTTCCTAGCAGAAAGAACAAAACAGCAAATGCAAAGGTACAGAGATGGGAACTGTTGAATGCACATGTAGGGAAGGCAGAGTGGTGGAGTTGAAGGGATTGTGTCATATCTGAAGGGCCGTAGATGGGCAGTGATGTAAGGAGATGAAAAATAATCAGATGTGTGTGGGTTCCCCCGTGGGTAACATGGGGAGGAACTGCAGGGTGCTCCTGGATGCCAACAGAGGAAGCCTACTGCACTGGGGTCTGGATAGAGATTTCTGAGGCAGAATCTGGACTTCAATGGCTTTTGTACAGGCACAGCCCTTTTCCCATTCTCCAGGCTTCAGCTAGTGCCTGAAATGTAGCGTGGTGGGGTTTCAGCTCACGTCCCCAGCTTGAGTAATTGCTTTTGGGGCTCTCCTGCTGCTGTCTTCTCCTGCTCCAAGAGACCCAGTTTACAGCTAGCCTTCTTGCTCTGGCCACTCCTAAGCTGGTGTCCAGGCACATCTCGGTGACCTGTCTTGTATCTTTAGCATAGCCAGTCACACTCCTTGTAAGTCTGTGATGAAGACTATGACCTCCCAAACAACTCAGATTAAGAATTCCAGGAGGAGTACTCTGACTCCAGCCCATCTTCTTGGCCCAGCTTATTGTTCACTCCAATGGATGTTCACTCAATAAAACATGGACATTAGGAGGAAGACAGCTATTGTATTGAAGGACTTCAAATCATTTATTTGGAATAAAAATAACATATAACATTCTAAAAATGACTGAGACTTTGGAGTTGGAATCAGATAAATTGGGGTTCACACTCTGGCTCTGCTATGTGTGGCCTTGGGCTCCCTGACCCTCTGTTTCTGCAGCTGTGTGTGAGGATAAAAGGATGTTTGTGATGTGTGCACAGAGAGCCTGGTGTGTAATGATCAACAAAGAGCAGCTCTTGTTATTATTAATGATTTCAGCTCAACTAAATAATTTTTGGAAATACCTATGTATTAAAACTGTCAACATGACCCAACCCTGAAAAAAATGTTACTTATTAACAGGCGTTGAGAAGTAGTGAACTTTAGTTCATAGACATTTTCTTTTGTAGACACACTAGAAGGAGTTATGGATAAAACAGATTCACTAAAGATTGTACAGTTAAGGGAGAAGGGAACACACTGATAAGGAAACATTTTACAACTGGTGAAGAGATGAAGATCATTAGCAGAATTATTCACCCTCATCAGGGATCAAACTATCAGACTTTTCTTACTTTCTCTCTCCCTTTCTATCTCTCTATCTCTTCCACACCCTCTCTACTTTTTTCTTTTCTCTTTCCTTCCTTCCTCCCTCCCTTCCTCCTGCCCTCCTTTCCTTCATTTTTCCTTATTTTTCTTAATGAGTATAGCAAGGATGAGAATAATATTATAAATTAGATGTACTTAGAAATGGCTAATGGTAATCTAAAGGAGCACATCTTTCCCCCCCCTCTCCTTTCTTCCTTTTTGTCCTCCCTTCATCCCTCACTCTTTTTAAATGTTTTATGATAAAAATTTTCAAACACACAAAAGTAGAGAGAATAGGATAATGAACTTCCATGTTCTCATCAACCAGTTACAACTTGTATTGTTTTGTCACTGGTGTTGTTTTACCTACTCCCCTATTCTACCAACACTTTATTTTGCTAGAGCATTGAAAGTAAATTTCCTCTTTTTAGAAGGACACCACTTTTATTGGGTTAGGGCCCCACACCTATGACCTTGTTTAACCTTAATTAACTCATAAAGTCCCTATCTCCAAATAAGTCACATTGGGGGTTAGAGTTTCAACATATGGCTTTGAGGGGAGCACACAGTTTAGTCATAACAGCCATCTTAGACCCAGCAATGGAAGCCATAGAAAAGATGCCACACCTTCCTTAACTGCCCACCTCATGTTGTTCAAGTCGCTGTATTATGGTTCTCTTTGTTACAGCAGTCTTTAGTTGTAAGCTTATTTTACAATAAGTTTTTAGCTTATTTTCTAACCGGTTCATACATGCATATGTTTATAAAAGCTCCATTGATGGCTTCTATCTGGTTACTCCTGATTGTACCAGAGTAGTGAGGAGAAAAGCTAGCTAACAGCATTTCAAGTTGCACTGTCACACTTAGTATTCAGATGACTATGGGAAACAATTTTTCCTAATTTGTAAGTAAATGCCTAAAACAGTAATATTTACAGCAAGATTCTTACTTATAATGAAACATCACACAAGTTCCAGCCCTCCATACCTCCAGTTTTCTTTCTTTTTTCCCCTCCCTTTCTCTTCCTGTGGTGGGGATGCTAATGTCCTAGGGCGAGCCAAGCAGTAAGGCAAAAGAACTACACTCCCAGTGATGCTGGAACATCTTTCCAAGGTTTTATTTTCAGTCCTCCTCTCTGTAATCCAAAACCAGAGCAGAGATTTGCTTATGAGAGTGAAGGATTTCCACAGTGACCTTGGAAAGTGTTCTTACCCTTTTTACTGGTAAAACGGCCGTAGAGGGCCCCATCGGTTTATGATGGGGACCTTGACTGTGCAGTGATGAGGACAGAAGCAGCCAGGCAATAGAAGGTAGCCTTTTCCTTCCTCTGCAGAATGTTGGTGCTCTGGCTCCAGGAGGCACAGAAAGTTGGCACTCCGGTGGACCCGGTTCGGGTTTCCCTGGGCCAGGTACAGAGCATGGGAAACTGGGTGCATGGAAGGGCAGATGCTGGGGAACCTACATTCATCCTTCACTGTGCTCACATGATCCACTGATGGGAAGAAGCTGGGGTGTCCCAGGTCTTTGGCATTCATGTAGTGTCTTTTGAAGGCAGGGTATCCATCCTCTAGCTTGGGGTTGGGGCTGGGTATGAACTTATAAAACTCTTTTTCCCGAAGTTGGGTCTCCACCTTCACTTGCTGTGGGAACAAATCACACATAAGTGAAAGGCAATGTTTCCTTGGAAGTATCCAAGGCAAAGCACACTTTTCTTTATTAAAAAATATTAGTTTTTGAATAGTAATATATATTGAATACAATAGAGGGAAATACTGAAATAATACAAAAGGGATAAGAGTGAAAAATGTCTTTGGGGGGCATTGGAGAAGGTAGAGAGATAAAGCAAAAAATAAAAAACTCATGCATATGGGAAACAGGTGGTGACTGTAGTAGGTAGGGAGGTTGGAGGTGGAAAAGGATATATGAGAGATGAATGGTTAATGGAAAAAATACAATAAAAATGAACTATTCAAAAAAATAGAGAAAAATCTCTTTCCTACCCTCCTCCTCCCTTGGTTCCCATCTCCAGTGGTAACCACTGTCATCAGTGTTTTCTGTGTCTTTCTAGAAATATTTTCTGTACATTTAAACATAGTTGTATATATCTGCACCCCTGGTTTGTACATACACAATACACATTGCAATTGAATTCTGTACTTTGCTTCCACTAAATAATTTATTTCAGAAATTGTTCCATTTTTGTTTGTATAGACTTATTACTATTTTAATGGAGCTACCTCAAGATAGAAAAGGATTTCTTAAACAAGACTGTAAAAGAGCAAATGATAAAGGAAACAACTAACACATCTGGCTGTGTTAAAATAAGAATTGCTATTCCCTGGAAGTCAGTGAAAGGCAAAGCAGCAAATGGAGAAGAGTTTTGCCACATACGTAACTGACAAGTGAAAGATATCCAGAATTCAAAGGGCTCCTACAAATTAATAAGAAAAAAGATTCATAATTCAATAGAAAAATGGCCAAAAGACATGAATGGACATTTCACACAATAATAAATATTCATAAACAATGAAAAGATGCTGAACCTCATTAATAATGAGTGAAATGAAAACTATGACCACAGAAAAATGTTATTTCAAATACACCAAATTGACAAAAATTTTAGATGTCTGGCAATACCAAGTAGTAACAAGATTAGAGTTACAAGAGTGACGGCCTCTGCTGGGGAGAAGGTGCATTGATGCGAGGTTTTGGAAAATAGTAATGTCTCCTGTGGCAACCAATTCCACTCCCCAGATGGGTGAACTCTTGCATGTTAGGCTGTGCCTCACCTTCACTGCAATATTTGGGGGCATCAGGGTAACAAAAAAGTAAATAATCAGATGTCTGCCAGTGGGAGAAGGGACAAATATATGGTGGCCTATCCATGCAATGCAATTCTATGCAGCAGAAAATGAAGAATATATCATAATGTTCAGAAACAAATAAAAGTCACAGAAGAGTACCACAAAATATGATCCAATATATAATAAAGTTAATAGAAGGTAAAATAAAACAATTTGTTTAGCAGTATACATACACACAAGGTAAAACTATTTCTTCTTTAAAACACACATACACACAAGAGAATGATTGGCCCAGAACTCAGAACAGTAGCTCTTCTAAATGTAGGGGAGCATATAAGCGGGAAGGGTCACCCACAGACTCTGAGGTCCTGTTACTGTACTGTGTGAGCTGCCTGAGAATGGGTGCATTAGTGTTTGGTTTATCAGTGCTATTTAAGGCATCAGTGTATATTATTTACATTCTTCTGTATGCGTGACATATCTGATGTGCATTTTAAAACATATACACATACACATAAAAGACCTCTTAGATCTCTTGGTATCAGATGTTGTTCTAAATAAGTGTCTCCAGTGTGTACATGTAATAAAAATGAAATAACAGTGATTTCAGTGGGCAGTTGAATAGAATACAATCCCGAGTGACCTTTTACCTCTCGTGGTGTGACTCTGGAGTACTTGTGCTTCCCATACAGTTTATAGTTGACCATGTAGGAGCTTTGGTACATGTCTAAATCCACAGGGGCCTAAGGGGCAAGGGCAAAAACAAAGCAAGAGATTTATCTCATTCTTCCATACATAGGCATTCAGTGGCCTGGAATTGGGAACCCTTTGTGATCAGGCCTCTCCTGGCCTTTCCCACATCTCTCCTCATTCCCCTCAAAGCCCTCTATCCTCTAGCCTCACTTCTTTCCTCTTTTCACATGTGCCTGGCACACATTCTCTTATTCCCTGGTGGAAATGCTAGTTGCACACCTCACCAACTAGCAAACTCCTACCTAGGGGGCAAACTCCAACCCAAAGTCCAAGACCCAGATTAACCCTCTCTCCCAAAACATATTTCCCACCCAAGCATTAAACTCTCTCCTCTGCTTTCATAGCACATTTTGCATCCCTCACTACAGCACTTATCATGGTGTATTATCATTGATTTAATGAGTACACTAGATTAGGACCTAATCTTAGGCATTCCTGCAGCCTCAAAACCCAGCTCAATGCCCAACACACTGAGGGTGACTAATAAATGCATATTGAATAAAGGAGCCTCCAGACAATTGTAAACCCTTAGCATTCTTCTACCAGAGGGAGCCCCAAAGAGCATAAGAACCTGGACATTTCTTGGGCTTGTTTGCCACCCAACCTTGAGATGGTCACAGGGGACAGAAATCCATAACACTCACCTGCCTGGGGTACACCACACCTGCCATAGCAGACAACCTAGACACAGAGAAACTGGTTAGACCTGCTTCTGCCACAGGAAGGGAAAGTAGCCACTGTCTACAAATTGGTGGCAAGCAAGCACAACTTCCCAGGCCTCTTCACTCCACCCTGTACATCATTCAGTCATCCAGGAGTTGGTGAGGATGGCAGGGATATGTGGGCTGCTGGATAGGGGCCATGGGACAAAGGGGTTGCAGCAGGACCCAGAAGGAATTAGAGCTGTCAGAAACATCAGGTTTGCCTCTCAGGCAGGGCAAGTGGAATGTTGGTAATGTTTAATAGTTATTAGCAAATAAGCCCAGTTTACAGCATTTGCCAGTTTCTGTGGTATGGATGCTTCCACCATGGCCAATTTTGAGCTTTAAACACAATGTCATTGGTGCAGAGTTTTGAAATTGTGCACAGAATGGGCTCTCAGAGTCAGGATGAGCTGATTCCAGCACACAGATCACACTGAATCACGGCTCTGAACTACCTAGAGGAAGCAAGCCTAGGACTTAGAGGCACCCTGATTTAGGAGCACAAACCATGTTTTCTAATAGAGACTGGAGGTATCCAGTGGAAGACGATTGTGAGGCTCTGCATTCCCAGTTGAACAATAGCATGCGTAGGCCCAACCCTGCCCCTTGTTCCCAGCCCTGAAGGTCTGTGGGGAGGCCTTACTACAGGGCACTGGGGAGCTCCCTGAGCTCACCCTAGCTTGTGTTCATGGACCCCTAGGTTCTTGATTGGTCCTTCATTATCTCATTCCCATGGAACCCCATTCAATAGGTTGTGGTTGCCAGACCTAAACAGGCCCGTGTCCCTTCTTGTGTATGACCCTTTTTGTGTATGGACAGCTCATCTCTTGGGCCTGGGGACCAGCCACAGTGCACACAGCACCTACCTATCCTTCTGCCAAGAGAAAAATGATGCTCTTGCCCATCCAGTTCCAGGTGCCCCTGCTGCCTAGAGAGGGCTACATGTCCCATGGCCACACCTGTATTTGAGATGAACCCTGCCTGACCTATATGATGCAGGCTGTTTTGGTCACAGTCCCTGGTCATTGTGATTAGGTGACTGGCCAACCTTCTGCATGTCAGTTCCCCTGTCCCTGGCTCACCCTTTCTCACAGAGAGCCACTTGTGTCCCAGCATACTTGAGCCAACATGAACCCTGGCAGCATCAGAAGATACCCATGAGAGAGTGGCTTTCCAACAGGATACAGAATCAGTCTATTTCCAGGAGAGAGAGGCAAACTGAACCCCATGTGAATTATAACATCAGACTGTGTGTGACTAGATCTACAGCATACCACAACACTTTCAGGCCATTGTGGCCTGAAAGGCTGCCTCATCTCCTTCTTTCATATGTCAAAATTCCACCCTCATTCACACTCATTAGGAGTGTTGGTGAGGAAATTGAGTAATTGTAACCCTTGAAATTGGAACCAGCATTGCTGGCGGGAATGTGAAGTGGTGCAACAGTTGTGGAAAACAGTTTGGCAGTTCCTCCAAAAGTTAAACATAGAGTTAACCATATGATCCAGCTATTTCACTTCTGGGTATATACCCAAAAGAATTGAAAGCAGGGGTTTGAAGAGATACTTGCACACCCATGTTCATAGGAGTACTACTCACAATAGCCAAAAGTGGAAGCAACCAAAGTGTTCAACAGATGAATAGATAAACAAAATATGTGCATACAGACAACAGAATATTATTCAGCCTTAAAAAAATAATGAATTACTGATACATTCTACAACGTAGAAAAACCATGAAAAACATTATACTAAGTGAAATAGGGTGTTGGGTGGAGGGGGCCAAAGGGGGAAAAGTCAGGACAACTGTAATAGTACAATCAATAAAATATAATTTTTTTAAAGTGAAATAACTTAGCCATAAAGGACAAAAATTTTATGATGTCACTTCTATGAGGTACCTAGAATCATCAAATTGCTAAAGACAGAAAGAATAGTGGTTACCAGGGGCTGAGCTAAGGGAGGAATAGGGAGTTAGTATTTAATGGATATAGAGTTTCAGTGTGGGAAGATGAACACATTCTGGAAATGCATGGTGGCGATGATTGCACAACACTGTAAAGGTACTTAATGCCAATAAATTGTACCTTAAAAATGGTCAAAATGAGAGAAACATTTGAGATCATGCTTTCCAGCAATTGTCAGTTTTGGCTCAAATAAACTCTTATAAAAATTCCTCCCAAGTGGTAAATATTATGCTATTTACAATTTTTTAAATGCCACTCTATTTAAGGGCCACCTTCTCCATGAAACTCTTCTTGATCTCTTGCCAGATGTCACCATAGACTCCTTTCATTTATTTAATCAATGTTTTTTGAACAATTAATATGTGTTTGGCACTGTTGTACACTTTGTGGATTCAACAATGAACAAAATAGGTGGAAATCTCTGCTTGCACAGAGCTCACATTCTGATGAGAGGAAAACTCAAAGCAGAATTAATAAGCATCTACCCTGCAGCAGATGGTGACATGTGAGAGGGTGGAAGTCGAAGTAGGCACTTCAGACTGGAGTCCAGAAGGGCTCTCTGAATGGGTGCTGTGAAAGCAGATATATGAAGTATAGGAAGAGCCAACCATGCCAGGACCTTGAGGAGGAGGTGTTCTACCACAGGAATCAGCAAGTTCAAAGCCTATAAGACAGGACAACCTGGAACAAGAAGGGAACAGAAAGATGTGGGTGAGGGCCGAGGATATGAAGCCATTTTCCCTGTGGAGAACTTCAAGAATCATGTTTTATTTTCTTTTTCTTTAGGAAGCATGTAGTTTGGGTGGTGCTGACCTTATTCCAGTTCCAAATGGGCATGTTGTCCCCAGAATATTCCACCTTCTAGGCTATAGTATTGATTTAGGGAGAGGCTAATGAACAAAGCTGGGCTAATGAGCATCATCCCCAACTGCAGGAGAAGAGGCTCTCTCTGAGATAGTGGACACTAAGAACCACGTGAGCTTGGAGCTGCCTGAAGCCATATTTGCACTGTGTGAAGGGAGATTGGCCAAGAATAAAATTAGCTGGGAAAACAAGACCCCAGAGATGGAGACAGTCAGGTGACTGTATCACCAGGACACTGAGTGCCTGGATACAACCATGCTTGAAGCTCAACCACATATAGAATTTGCAGTTTATGTGAGCCAATATATTTATTTTCTTGCTAAAGCCAATTTCAGTTGCATTTATATAAGTTACAGCTGAAGCAGTCTCAACAAGTTCAAGGTGGTAGAACTAAAGTAGTGATTTCCCATAATAACTGTGGGATCCTATATAAAAGCTCTTCTTTACTTACATAGCCCTCAGTGCCCTGTCACTTAAACTTAGGGATGAAGAAGTGCTTGTTAATTTAATAAAACTGAGAGAAATAGCAAAGAACAGGGTAAAAACAGAATGGCTACAGACTTAGAAGCAGAGGGGACACCTAGGTCATAACAAATGATTTTTGTGCCTTAAGGATATATTTTTCAGGCAAATATTACCAAGTAGGTTTTGGAGTCCTGACTTCAAATCCTGAGACTTAACCATCTTCATGTCTTTGGGTAAATCATGTAACTTCAAAAGTCAATTGAATCATCTGTAAAACAGGGAAATAATATCCACCTGAAATGAAAGTATGAAGTTACATGGCTCCATTCAAATAATCACTCATAGTTTCTGAGTCTCTATATTCTATTCCAGATATTGTGCCAGGGCCTACAGTAATGAAATAAAAGAAATGATCTCTGTCTTAATGAAGTTACTTTATAATTGGAGACAAGTATATTGTATAAATAATCACATAAGTCTTTAATTACAGTTGTGACAAGTACCCTGAAGGACAAATACAGAGTGGGGGACCTGATCCAGTATTGAGGGCTGGTTTGGGAGGACTTGCCTCAAGTAGTGACATTTTAACTCAGGCCTAAATAGGAAGGAAACTTCTAAGTGCTGTATGATGTTATAGGGCGAAAGGTAGAAGGTCTTGTGTAGAAGAGAGAGACTGCTCTGCCACAGCCAAGTCTGGTGGGACAAGTGTGGCTCCAGGTGAGACTAGAGATGGAGAGGGGCTTTGTCTAGCAGGCTGACTTTATCTTGAGAATAATGGGAAGTACTGGGGAAGTTAAGTAGAAAAACTATGCAGTGGGATGTGCATATCAAAAAGCTCGCTGTTGGACAACAGTCTGTGTGAAAGGGATGAGAGGACCCTATGACATGAGTTTGTAGGACCCTGGGTGCCAAAGGTGGCTGGAGCAGTTTGGTAGAGATGGAGGTGGATATGGAGAAGCATGGGTAGATCCAAAAGATGCTTTGGAAGTAAACTCCGTAGAACAGTGATTTTCAGCTTTTTCCATCTCATGCCACATGTAAACTAATTACTTAAATTTTGTGGCACACCAAGGAACATTTTTTTTTCTGATCTGACAAAAATAGGTATAATTTTGATTCATTTTTAATTTGACTACCTCAGGGAAAAGAGGTCAGTAGCCCTGACTAAAGAGTCAGATACTGCACGTTTTAAAATTTCTTCTGGCACACTGGTTGAAAATCGCTGCTATAGAATTTAATCAGTATTGGGAAGCAGCAGGGGCAAGGCAGAGAGGTATCAGATATTTGGAATGAGTCACTGGGGGTTGAGAGCCCTTTGATGGAGTGGGATCTGCTGGGGAAGTAAGACCTTGGTATTGCAGTTGTGCAGCCTGTGTGACTTCCAAGTGAAGAAGGTGAGTTTACACCTGCGTAAAAGGATCCGTAGCTAAGAACACTTTGGGTGTGTGGTACACACTAGAATTGCTGGTGATATGGGTGGCATTTGAAGCTAACAAAGAGGTTTTATTGTTTTTAGGCACCATAGCCTCCCACACAGCCCTGTGCTACATTGTTTCCCTTAAAGAGCATCCTTAGCCTCCCTAATGGAGAAACCAAGGGCAGCAGGAGGGGAAATCAGCCCAGAAAAGTGACAGGGTCATGGGGTCCATGTACCTCTTTTTAGTCTCCTGTG